CTTTGGTCTTTGGAGCTATGAAAATGATGGGATAATGGGGATAGGTAGGTTAATGTAAATTTGATGAGAGAATTGATAATTGTAGGTGATAAGGAGTAAGATATGTGTGGTAGAGGCAAAAAGAATGAGCGAATTAATAAGTTTTAAGGAAGAATTTTGCAAGAAGCCAAATTGGAATAAAAGAATTTGAAAATCTTGGATTTAATGTGTTTTGTAGTGAAAATGGTATTAGCCACAATTTTTCTGCTTCTAGAACTCCTCAACAAAATAGAGTAGTAAAATTGAGAAATAGGACATTAGAAGAAATGGCTAGAACTATACTTTGTGAAAATAATTTACCTAGATATTTTTGGGCAGAAGCCATAAATACTTCTTATTATATTATAAATATAGTTATGATTAGGCTAATTTTGGAGAAAACTTCTTACGAACTTTTTAAAGGAAAAAGGCTTAACATAAGCTATTTTCATCGTTTTGGTTACAAATATTTTGTTTTGAACAATGGAAAAGATGATCTTGGAAATTTTGATGCAACAAGTGATGAAGGGATTTTCTTAGGATATTCTTTGAATTCAAAAGCCTATAGAGTCTTTAATAAAAGAACATTAGTTGTTGAAGAGTCTATACATGTTAGCTTTGATGAATCTAATCCACCTCCGAGAAATGTGCCTTTTGATGATGATGATGTAGGTATACTTCAAGAAAATGTCAATGATGCACCACTTGACATTGAGGAGAACAATCAAAAGAAAGATTATGAGTTTCTAGATGAGCCACAACATATAGAGAAACAACCAAATCACCATAGAAAAAGGAGGTATGTCAAAAATAGTGAAATTATTGGTGATCCAACTCAAGGGGTAAGAACTAGATCTTCTTATAATGTGTGTAATTATGTTGCTTTCCTATCTCATATTGAACCCAAGAATATAGATGAAGCCTTAGGAGATGATCGTTGGATATTTTCCATGCAAGAGGAATTGAACCAATTTGAAAGAAGTCAAGCATAATGGACACGTTGTGCACTGTTTTTGGCGTGATAAAATCGGGTCCCCTTCTCTTTTGACCGATCTTTTTAGCCTCTTTATATGTTCTTCTTCTTCCCCAAACTCATTCTCTTCAAACCCTAAGATCTTTCACTCATTTTTCACTCAAAATTGCTCATTCTCACCAAAATCTTTTGCAAATTCCTTCATTCCAACTTGGTTTCTTGCAAAATTCTTCCTTAAAACTCATCAATGCACTCATTCTTTTTGCCTCTCCCACACATATCGTTACTCCTTATCACCTACAATTACCAATTATCTCATCAATTTCACATCAACCTATCTATTTTCATTATCTCACCATTTTCATGGCTCCAAAGACCAAAGTAAATGTTGGAAAGAGGAATCCTTCAAGGGAGGCTTCTAGCTCATAAATGAGGACTTCTTTCAATCAAAATTTTGCAATTTCACATCAACCTATCTATTTCTATTATCCCATCATTTTCATGGCTCTAAAGACCAAAGTAAGTGCTGGAAAGAGGAATCCTCCAAGGGAGGCTTTTAGCTCATCAATGAGACCTTCTTTCAATCAAAATTTTGTCAATACAGATGCAAAGGAAAGATATGAGACCCATTTTGCACATAGAGAAGTGAAGCATGGAAGGATAATTTCACTTGAATTATTTCAATCTATAGAATTCCCTTACTTACATGCTTTTGAGAGATTTGGATGGCTAAATTACTTGTGTATGGATGGCTTTTATTTGAGAATCTAGTAAAAGTATTTTATAGCAATGCTAGTTGTATTCAAGTGGAAGGATCAAATAGATACTATCTTGATAGATTTAGAATATATGTGCTGGGAAAAGAAATTATAGTTACCAAGCAAGTGCTAGCTGAAGCGTTCATGTTAGAAGATGAGAGGGAAACCAATACTCGGTGTGACATGGTGGCGCCTGCTCAAGACATTTTTAGGAATAACAATTTACAAGCTGCTCCTACTCAAGCTTTTAGATTGTCAATGAATGATAGGTTGCTACATCTTATTATCACTCATGTGTTGGCACCTTTTGGTACTCAATACTCCACCATTAGTAAGCAAGATTATTGGTGGATGTATAAGATCAAGCATCAATAAAAATCCAATTTGGTGCATTTTCTTTTCAATGATATGATGAGAGTAGTACAAAATTGGGACTATACCTTGGTATATGGGTTTGCATATTAGTAATCTCTTGAGAAAATTGGATGTCAATACTAGAGGAGATAAGGAGATGATGTTTAATTATCCATTTAGTATTCTTGGTGCTCCTACTTTTCACAGTATGGTATATGTTCAAAATGCATCAGGCTTATGTCTTAAAAAGACTGATATTGGGGCTGCACAAGAAGAGAAGAAGAGCAACCTTCAGATATTACTGAACCTCAAGGAGAACCTTCTACCCCATCATTTGATACTCAATGAGACTTAGAAATGCTTTTGCTTCAAATGAACAGCCTGCATTCAGTGGTTGGGAGCTTGAACACTCGATTGAAAAATATGAAAGAAACTCAAAATGAGCTAGTTGTTCAAGTCCGCCAAATTAGAGCTAACATTCTTAATACCTATATTTTTATAGAATAAATAATGGAAAAAAGAATATTTCAAGTTGTCTGGTCAATGTTGATCTTTTGAGCGTAAAAATGGCTCGGTTTGATTCCTTATTGGTGATATTTTTGCTCATTCATTGTTTCCTCTTGTTTCTCAGGATGGACTTATTTTGCACATAGCAGCTTAGTGTTTTGTTGAATATAATATATTCTAACCTATTAAGTGGGCAAAAAAAAGTTTAGCTTGACAGTGCTAGGTGAAACTCCTGGCAGGTTGCATCATGGTGGGACTATGGTTACCAAACCACTGCTATGGCTAACCGCACGGTCATCGTTGACAATAATACCTGGAACAATACTCATATTGCAACTGTTGGTACTGCAATGTCTTCTCCTGAAAAGGCAGCTTGGGAAATTTTCCACTCTTTGGATGTAAAATATGTTCTCGTCGTCTTTGGAGGTTTGATTTCTTTTTTCTTCTCTTGAAGTGTACTGTCCTAATATATTATTTTTCTGACGATTTACGTCACCCGTTAGGTCTCGTTGGCTACCCCAGTGATGATATTAATAAATTCCTTTGGATGGTTAGAATTGGAGGTGGTGTGTTTCCTCATATCAAGGAACCTGATTATCTGGTAAGTTATCTGCACTGGCACTGCTTAAATAATGCACACTCATTCCATCGTTCTGGTCTTTCTTCCATTTTTGAAGTCTCAATCACGCTTATCTATTTTTGAAAGTTGAGCAATAAAGATCCTAATTTTTCGAGAAAAATACCCTTAACCTCTCAAGTATTATGAAGTTGGTGCTAGTGAAACAATAAGGGCAAAGGTAGAACAAATTTAAAATTGTGGATGAAAGATAATTGCATATTTAATATTATTATATTGAAGTTTGTGTGCATGTTAAAAGGAAACTATTAAGGAGGAAGTAAGAATTAATGAATGATATTTTTTTTGGGTTTATCGGTGATAGAAGGTATTGCGTTGAGTTATGACTGGATATTCTATTTTGACTAAGAAATTAAATGATATTTAATTTTCCTTCCTGACAAAAAATTTCACTTGTTATAATTATTGACTCTTCTCTTTCTTGCCTTCTGTCTACAGAGAGATGGTCAGTATCGGATTGATTCCCAGGCCACTCCAACCATGCTAAACTGTCTAATGTATAAACTCTCGTATTACAGGTCTGTTTTTACTGTTAAATTTGAGTTTATATATGGTTTTGGTCAGTTTTGTTCTTGCACAATTTCTTCATCCCGTAATTACATTATCTACAGGTTTGTGGAAACTGATGGGAAGGGCTTTGATAGAGTTAGGAGGACAGAAATTGGAAAGAAATATTTTAAACTCAGCCATTTTGAGGAGGTTAGATGATCCTAAATTTTCATTTTATTCAAATAGCACACGCAGATTATGAAATTTGCCAATAATATTTGTTCAAATAATTTCACCATGATGCATGTGATTTTTCTGCCTAAATTGACAAATAGCACTTGTGACATACTTTTGGAATGCGAGAAATTTCCATCTTTTGCTCTTCGCATTCTGATCAGAATTCTGCAATATTTATTTATTTATTTCAATTTAGGTATTCACAACTCATCATTGGATGGTTCGGATATATAAACTGAAGCCTCCAAAGAACAGGATTCGTGGAAAGACAAAGAAATCAAAATCGGTACACAATCATTAAATTATCTCAATCATCACATACACAAACACACACAGTCTGACTAAGATTCTTTCATTGTTTTCTGGTTTTGTGTATCATAAGATCTAGTCTGATGTTAACCTATGCAACCGCTTTTAATTTTATGTTTTCGCAGAAAACTAGCTCAACAAGCAGTCCAAGAAAAAGTGGAACGAAAAAGAAGAATCCATGGCACTAAGAAACGCAATATATTTTATAACAATGGTGAAAATTTGGGAGCATTTTAGGGGGGGATTGATTATTCAGGGAATGGTAGGTGATTTTCCTTACAGAAATCAAAGTCAAAAAGATTTTACAGGCGTCGCTTCAACATTGTAATCTGTACTACATCATAAGTTTAGCACATCAGTTTTGACAAGATCCCTGAACACGGACACCTCTTTTGACACCTCCTTCAATTAAAAAAAAAAACAAACATTTGCTCCGACCCTAGCTATACTTATGAGTTTATCATTTTTTATTTACGTTGGCGTAAACCTAGTGATTTATGAATTTTGTTTCTCAAAAAATATTAATAATTTATATATTTATATCATATTTTATATAAAAATTATATATTATAATTTATATCAAATACAAAAATATATAATATATAATATTTTTTATTTTATTAAAATTTTAAATTATATTATCTATATTTTTATATATTATATTATTTTCGTGATATCATTATATTACGTTATAAATTATCATTGTCAAGTTTAAGTCACTTGGGTTCAACAACAATAAAACTCACTAACAAACCTACTATTTGCCAAATTGTTTAACTGTTAAGAAAGTTGGCTTCACTGAAATTTTGGGTGACAATGGCATAGCACCTTTTGAATAATGACTTTAGTTGCACATCAGATCTCTTTCACGGCTTGCGTTAGTTTAACCATTGATAACAGCATCTTGAACCGTCAGTATCTGGAAACAAGAGCTAGACGATCCAGATTTACTTTTTGAAACTGTTTTTGGAGGAAGTAAAAGTGTGATCTCTTTACTATTATCTCTTGGATTATAACTATAAGCAACCAAAATAGAGTTGCCTCACTTAACGAAGGGAAGATTCAATCTACACGGATAACAAATTGCCAAAAAAAAAAAAAGTGCTCTTAGAAAAAGAAGTTGGAGTCCTGCAAATTCAACAACCCTTAAAAAATAATATACAATAAATTAGAAATTTAAATTTTAATGGCTACACCTCTTTCACACTCAGATTGTGACTTTGTTTGCAAAAAAAATTCAAATAAAAAACAGTTCGTTAAACAAGCAACACAAATTTCCGTACACAGGCTGTTACAGAAAACGGCAATACAAATGCCAAATCATTGAAGCAAAACAAAAACCTATGAAATTTTCTCAATAAGTTATTAAACCTTTATACTTGTATCCTGCGATATTGGCCTTCACTTGTGGGAGAATATAATATTACGAATGGTCAGAAAATGAAAAATATATCCATATATTTATAAAAAGAATGGCCAAGAACCTCACACTGCTTTTTCATCAAATGCCTTCTCATGTTTCGTCCCAACTCCACGTGAAGCAGATAGTGATGATGTCGAAAAACCAGCATCCTCATCCTTCCCAGAAGTCAGAATTATAATGCTTGGAAGTGCTTTAACAGTCGACCAAGGAGCATATCCGTTATTCTTATGAGGTTTCCCACTCCAGGTTAAGGTCTCAAACAAATAGAATCCAGCCAACAAAAATTACCATAACAGGAGCCATTTTTTTCTTACGAGGTACAACTTCTCTAACAAACGCCTGCACTATAGATGCTTTACGGGGGCTTTAATGCCTATGACTTTGACAAACGTGGGAAACTACATGAATCACCAGAAAATTTGTTAGAGTTTCTTTGGCAAGTTGTAAATCTTCTTAAGGAACTTAGTAGCCATCTCGTCATTCCGATAACATAAGACTCGCAAGAGTGTGTTTGGTTCAGTAGGACTCCACTGACCAGAAGTTGGTGGCAATGGGAGCTTGGATTTTGCAGAAGAACCATAACTCTCTAGAGTCATATATTTGAATTGCTCAATCAGGCTGTCAGTATCAGTATGGAATAAGGGGAGGATGGCTTTAACCGTGGTTGAAAACTTTTCTATCAAGTCAGCTGGAAGTCCATCACCATTGGACCAAAATAAATCAGTCAAAAACTTAAAATCCTCTGCTATTGTTTCATAATCTTGCAGACCGAAAGTACGAGCAGGGCCTCCAGCAAGTAAAACCAGCATGAGACCATCAAAAGATGCTTTCATTACTTCAGTAATAACTCGTGTTCTGACTCTGTCATGCACTGTTAATGAAATAACCTCCAAATAGTGCTCAAGTTCCTGAAGAAAAGGCTCAATCCTAGAGGATGAAACTTCCCCTACATACAAGCCATCCCAAAGGACATGACTTAGATCATGGAAAATAACCTTATATGCTGTTGCCTCACACAGTTGTTGAATCCCTTCCACGCAAGCAGCAGCTGAAAGTTCAAATGCTTTACCCATCCTGTTGGCAATATTGTCCGCATGAGTGGATTCAAAATTTTTGAGATGTCCAATCGCCCTTTTTGCCAAAGCTTCCAACTCCAATTGAATATGCTGCAGAGTATTAATACGACAGCACAGCTGGGGTATCCCAAAGGAGCCATTGCCAGTGGTAGTCTCAACCTGAGATTTCCTACTCAGTGCTATTTGAAACTTTTCTTTTTTCTTAAATACACCAGGAAATTTTGACCGAGTTGAACATCTAGTCAAAGCAGGCATGGAGGGAACAAAAGTACTTCGGGTCCCTGTAGATCAGAAGATAGTGAATTTTCCTTTTGGTTTAGTCAAAATTGATCACATCAAAAAGAAAAGGAAAAAAATTCATACATTGGTCTCTAGGCAATGTAATACATACCACAGCCAGACTTTGCCTTTGATATATAATGTTGAAGACATCTGTCAATACCAGTGGTTAAATCAGGAAGCAACGCAGCATGCATAGATATCGGTAACAAAAAGAATGCTTCTAAAGCTTCATCTACAATTCGCAAAACTTCAACAGCAGAGGGAGCAAAGCGCTCTTTATTCACTCGTGGATCCCAAACCTACAAAGAGATGAGAAATAGACATGCATAGCAGTAAATGGTCTGTATTAGCAACCACAATGAGATTCAAGCCATGGCAGAAGAATATAAAGTGCTTGCATCTTCAGTTCTTCTAATTATGGAAATAGGAATAATATCCTGTTAGACTTGAAAGATGACAGAAGAATATTTCATCTTAACCACCAAACCACCATCAAGGTATTAAAGAAAAGGAACAAAAGCCATATACCTCTTGTTGCAGATTCCTGTCAACCCATTCCTTCAGTCTGTCTAATCTTGTCTTTATCCATGATTTAACCAGATTAGAAATTACCGATTCAGCCTCATAAGGAGGCATCTCCCTTATGATTGACTTTCCACCATCCTCACTGTCTACTGAATTTTCAACTGCAATTTGCACCAGATCTTTCTCCAATTTGTCGGCAGCTCTCAGCACTTGTAATACATCTGGTGTCAATTCACCAATGCCAGAAACAAATTGCTTCAACTCATTCCCATAGCAGGAATGAAGAGTGGCTACAGCTACACCAGCTGCAAGAGGATGCCACCTCTTTAATATTGGACTAAATATTGCCTTCTCACTAAAAGCCAGTGAACTGACATCATTTGCAAGGATGGAAAGGAAAGGAAGCTGATTTTGCTGGTTCTTAGCTGAACGCTTGCTAGACCTCACCTTCTCCATTATCTGTCTAAATACATATCAACAGGCAGAACCTTGAGTCATCTTTCAGACAGAAATTTAACAGACAAACTTTGTCTAAATACATATTTCAAAAGAGAAAAAGAGATTGGTCTAAATACATAACTTAAGAGCTAAGAAACGACCAAGACCATGGTTTAGCAGGAAGAAAAGCTACCATCAAGAAAAGATGACCCTTGGAAAAGACAACACAATAGGAAATTTTCATATTTAAGATGCTTGCAAAAAGTTGCAAATACTAAAAACCTATCTATCATGCAGAAAATGTTAAAATTAATTTATCTAATGATATTAAACCATGGGAGCCTTCTTATCTTGCACTCCCCATTCATATGTAGGGAAATAATGTGAAATTATTGGAAACTTGCCTGACCAAAAGCAGTGCGCAATGATGATCTTGTGTACGTATCAACTCTCTCATGAGCCACATCATTTTCCTTTCGCTTCTTACGGTACTCATGTGAGATATCTTCTACCATTATCTTTGCTGATAGAACCCCAATAGAAACAACACATTCCATTGACTCAGTGTTATCACTATGAAAATAATTGTGGTAGGCCAAAAGCCTTTTCTCCGCCCAACCTAAAATTGCACCCAAAGTGGAGCTCAATATCTTGGAATAATCTGGATCTTTCATTTCCTTTGCATCCTTTTCAACTTCCATCAACAGATTATTGGCAGCAAACAACAGATCGCCTTCCATTTGACCAGTTGTCACGTAACGGTTAAACAATATCCACAAGAAACAAAGATTGTGCAGCATCTGGTTCATTCCAAGGACTACCCATGTCTTTTTTATGAGTTCTAGAACCTCATCAACCTCTTCAATAACAGATGTTTCATCATTAACATCAAAACAAGTTTCTAACAGCATTTGGTAAATTCTGAGATTCAAAGGGAATCCATCTGCCCAGTGGCTGGTCTCAGAAACAGAGCCATCAAAGTTTCTACAAGCAAGAGATAAAACAATGCTCCGAAGGGCTTGCATAGATTCATTGTTTTTTCCAGTCTCCAAGGGTTTCTCCAATGCCCCACGAATGATCTGCCTTAGTCGCTGTGGAGAATTATTGGTCTTATCTAGGGGCAACAGAGAATGCAAAAGGAGTCCAGCTTCAAGAAGCTTCAAATTTCTCCTCTGCCAAGCTTCATATTCTCCTTGATTTGGAAAATCGGAAGGCTTGAGTTGCTGCAACATCTCAAGTGGCAACACTATACACTCTATCCGTCTTCCAAGCTGATACAAATACAAAAACCAAATATCAAGTAACAACGAAACTCAAATTCCATTAACATTTCCAATAATCAACAACCGAAAATTCCATAAATTATCAATATGAAATAAAGGGTCATTTTTTTTAACCCAATTCTCATCTCCTTTTAACTATAAAAAAAAATAAAATACAAACAGAAATGCCCAAAAAAAAAAAAAAACTTGCTTTTCTTAACACACCTGAGAAGCAGCAACTCTCAAGAGAGCTCTTCTAACCCTGGAATCCGTTTGCTCCGAAACTCCCATCTGAACCCTCAACATCTCCCCAACGGTAACAGCCTTTTTGACTCGTTCAGAGTCCGACTCACCACTCGCTTTCCTACTCCGAGACGATTTCAATCCTAAAGCCTTCTTCACTTTACTCGCCGCCGTCGAGGTCAACGACCTCTGCAACGACGCCGTCGACGTCAACGTCGGCGTCGCCCCCCTCTCCGAGTTCCTCTCCGACTGCGATATGTAAGTCAATGGTTTCCCACCGGAACTCCGACAAGCTCCGACCAAAATCTCATAAGCCGTCTCTCGAAGCTCGGAATCTGATAAATTCGTCGCCAACTCCCCGAAAGGACACGTCAGCGTTTCAGTAAAGTACTTAGGCATCGTCGCCGCCGTCGTTGTGTCGTTTGACTTGGCTGGCTGGAAGTTCTGGCCCTTAATCTATTCGACTGGTTAAAATTTTCTGGGTATAAAATAAATTAAAATAGAAAAAATAAAAAGAAATTAAACGGGTTTAAAGATGAAGGTTTAAAATTCTTGCTTGATTTTAAAGGAAACGAAAAGAGAGTGCTGGGAATGTCATCAAATATATAAAAAACAACAAAAAAAAAGCTAGAAATTAGAAAAAAAAATAAACAGAATTCTGCACAGTAAAAGTATTGGTTTCCTATTCTATTCTCACAGAAGAAAGAAGAAAAAGGTGTATAAATTGGACGAGGAGAAAAAGAAAATGATTGTACTCTTTCTCTTGCCGCAGCCGAACCGAGTCAAGAGCGCGTGCGATCGACGGTTACAGTTTTGAATTTTTTTTAAGAAAATGGAGATAATTGCTGACTTTTTCTTTAGTATTTTACATTTCTTGAGTGATAATATTTTTTTTATTGAAATTTGAATGCTCTATATAATAAAAACATTTTCTTCAGTGTGAAAAGATTATAATAATTTTAATTTAGATTAAAATTTTGAATCAATTTGACATTTTATTTACAGTTCACATTATAAACAAAATTTTTTTAAATTCAAAATCAGAGAAAGAGAGATTTAAATTTTACTTTTTAAATTCTTTAAATGTATTGACTATTGAATCAAATATTTAGATGTATCAAATTTATTAGATTTGAATCAATCAAAGAAAATCATCTTTAAGTAGACAAAAACCTAGAAATTGAAATATAAAAGCTCCAAATTAGTGAAGTTAGCACTATTGATTTTCTTCTTTCTTTTTGATTTTTTTCCTGTTTGATGACAAAGTAATTAATGAGAGAGTCGAAAGTAGTAGGAGAACTAATTAGGTTTGGTAGTATTGACTCCAACACATCTAACCCAATGATTAGCTCAAAGTAAATATTAGCTCTTCCGTGACAAGTAATTTACCTATTTGTCGGTAAATTTAATAATTTAAGTATTTATATTTTATAAAATATTAAAATTATATATTTATTATTTATCAAAATTATATATCAAAATTTATGTCAACATAAAAATATAAATTTTTATTTATTAAATTTATATTTAATTATTATTAAAATTTTAAATCGTATTATTTTTATATTTTTTATTATACTTATATTATATTATTATATTATATTTTAAATTATTAAATTTATCTATTAAAATATATTTCATATAGAATAAAAAAAAGTTGCTATCAATTCTCATATGTTTTGTTTTAAGTACTGAATCACAATCCTAAATTGTATTCGTAATACATAAATTAAAAAATTAAAAAAATTATTGTAATATTTTTTAAATTTTTAAATAATTTTTTGTTAATAAATTTATAAATAATAAATAAATATCTTTAAAAAAACTTTAAATCCATTATTACTTGCATTAGAATTATAACAAATGAAAAAACCCAAAAAGATTCTAACAAATTAATTTCTTCAGTGGCTAGTGGTTTTTTCATGGAAATTGAAATCTAGGGACGAAAAAAAATAAATTTGATTAGGTTTAGGGTGGGTTCCACTCTCAAAGTGTTAATTATTAATATAAGAGTGAGTGCGTAAAGCGAATCTGTCAAAGCATCTCTGACTATAATGATAAGATCTATCCAACTAAACACTTTTTTACGTTTAAGGACGACATATATCCCTCCATTTCCGCCTCCCTAACCAACCTTTTATTCCCTTCCGTCTCACACCATTTCCTCCTTTTTTTTAAAAGCTTTAAAGTACAATTTAATTTATAAATTTATTATTGAAATATTACTTTTATTTTATTTTTAAATATTTTATGATATTTTCTTTTTTTGTCGGCTTCAATTTTTTTCTTATTTTCTACTCCTCTCCTATAGCTATTATTTTGTTTAATGTTTGTGGTTTTTGTGGTGAAATTGGCATGTTTATGCTCCAAATGGATGTTATTTATGCGCTTAATTATTATAAATCAGCTGATTTTTCGATTGGATTAGATCATTTTCATGCATTAAAACTTAAAATATTTTAAGCAATAACAATGATATAATTATGACATTTAATTAGAATTAAGAAAATATTCAAAATATACATAAATTAAAACTCATTTAAACGAAAATTTCAAATAAAAAAGTGTGCGGTGGGAATATTTAATTTTTTTATCGAACTGTTTCAATCATGAATCCCTCCCCCTGCCACAAATTTATTTAAAAAAAAAAAAGAATCATATCTTAAAATTAATATTCATTAAAGGGCCTAAATTATAACCTTCTTGTATGAACAACAAATGCTAATGCAGCTGGGAATTGGATGTTTGAAAGCCCATAATGTGGAAAGACTTTGGAGGAAATATTTTAAAGTGAATTTCGTAAATTTTTTATTAAAAATAATTAAATTAAAATTGATAAATTAAAAATTTTTTATTATATAGCTCAAATGTATAAAATTTAAAACAAAATTTATATATTATTTTATATTATTATTTTTAATGAAATTTTTATCGTTAAATAAATATGATTAAATTTAAATTATAAATAATATTTTTAATAACATTTTTACATTAAAAAGAAAGTCCTGATTTACCAAATTTTCTCTGCTTCTTAAATTTTCAACATCGAATGTTTTTATTGTGAACTTTGGGCTTCATATCTAAACTCAAGTGAAGTCCATAAATTCTCATTTACTGTTGTCACCAAATAAAGGTTACTTTTCAGCCAATTACAAAGTTTCCCGCCAACTTATTTAACCCTCGTAACCGAAAACTGTAAATAAAAAAAAAAAAGGCAAAAGCTCGCCAGGCTATTGATTCACTGTACACCGGTGCCCAAGCAACCGCTGAAGAGTACACGCGGCTTGTGCTCGAATGCGTTCAAGTGAACGATATTGATCAAGCCAAGACATTGCAATCTCACATGGATCTTCACTATTTTATACCCGATGACACGTTTCGACACAATCGTCTCCTTCACTTGTATGCAAAATCTGGGGAATTTTCAGATGCTCGAAATCTGTTTGATAAAATGCCTCAAAAAAGATATTATCTTCTAGAATAAAGGTATAATTGAGCAGAATCAAGATGATACAGTGAAAAGTTTGAGTTTGAACTCAACTCTCAACTCGCGACTCGATACTCAATTTGAACTTGATCAAATTTCTTTTTTTTAACTCAAGTTCGATTCATAATCGAAATCGAATTACTTAAATTTGTTCGAATAAATTTGTTTATCAATAAAAGGTAAGTTTGATTTCATACTCGATTTTAAACTCGATTATTTATACTTAAATTAAAACTCAAATTAAGATTTTTCAATACAAATATTTTGTATCAATTAAATATGATATTTTTCAATGCAAACATTTTGTATCAATTAAATCAAATAAATAATCCAATACAACAATCAATCCAACTTGAATATGCAAATGAAAAATAAAATGAAAAAGTTTAAAGCAACCAAAAACTAATAAAATTGGAAGTTCATAAATTTTTATTAGATAATTATTCAATGAGTTTTTGGATAAAACCGTTTTCAATAATAAAAAAAATTAATAGCATTATTGAAGGTATTTATAGTAAAAAATGCCTTCAATAATGCATTAATAAATTTTTATGAAGTGATTATTCAATGTGTTTTTGATAAAAAATGTTTTGAATAATCTTATTTATTTTTGTATTAAGGAAGAAAATGCTTTGAATAATACCTTACAAAAATGAAAATAAGGTTATTCAAAGTGTTTTTAACTAAAAATACTTTTAATAATCTTATAGTAAAAAAATTTAACAAGATCATTAAAGACATTTTAGTCAGAAACGCCTTAAATAATATAATTCAAAATTTTAATGGAATATTCAAGACGTTTTTTGCCAAAAACGTTTTGAATAATCTACTCATAAAAATTGATGTAGATTATTCAAGGTATTTTTTTGTCAAAAAACACATTGAATAATTCCTTAATAAAAAAATTGAAAAAGATTATTGAAAGCGTTTTTCCTTTTAAAAATTTGGAAAAGACTATTCAATGTGTTTTTGATAAAAAATGCTTTTATTAATTATCTCATAAAATTTTTTTGTAATGATTATTCAAAGCGTTTTTTAAGCTTAAAATGTCATGAATAATCCTCTTCGATTAAAAATTGAATTATGTAAGTTTTTATCATATATGCCAAGGAGATTATAATAATTATTCAGAATTTAATATATATGAATTCCTCGCAACCAAACGAACAAATATGAACATAGGATGTCCTAAAAATGAAAGAAAATTCAAGATATTGTATTTTTTTTTAGAATCACACTTTTTCATAAAATTTAGATTTCGTAATCCAAATGCTCCCTTAAAATTTTTAAGTACATATATATATTTAAAGGTAAAAAAATAAATTAGTAATAAAATATTAAAAATAAAAAATTCAATTATGCTTGTGAGCTACTTGAATCAGATATTAAAATACTCGAATTTGATTCGTTCAATAATTCGAATTTCTTGAGCTCGAGCTTGGTTCAACATCAATCAAATCAAATTCGATTTTTTTTCGAATCGAATCCGAATAATTTACGAGTATATATGTCTCCTTCACACTTCTATTATGGAACGTGATGCATTCTGCAAATGCAAAATATGGGTCTATTGAGAATTTGAGAGCAAACGTCTTTTCTTGATTCTGTTTCTTATAATACTGTGATTGCAGGTTTGGGTGCAAGCGGCTTTTCCAATAAGGCGCTTGAGGTTTTTGTGAGGATGAATAGTGAGGGATTTGAGCCAACTGATTATACTCATGTGAGTGTGTTGAATGCATGTTCACGGTTGTTGGATTTGAGGAAAGGGAAACAGATTCATGGTAGAATTATTGTTGGTAATTTGGGAAGGAATGTTTTTGTTTGGAATGTTTTTGACTGATGTGTATGCTAACGGTGGTGAGATTGATAGAGCACGGTGGTTTTTTGATAGAATGAGTAATAAAAATGTAGTTTCATGGAATTCAATGATTTCTGGGTACTTGAAAAACGGGCAACCTGAGAAATGTATTGATTTGTTTCAGGTGATGCAAGTAGGTGGTTTTAAAGCTGATGAGGTTACTGTCTCAAATGTTCTTGGTGCTTATATTCTGAGTGGATTGATACATGAAGCAAGTAAGGTTTTTAGCATGATTAAAAACAAGGATAAGGTTTGTTGGACAACAATGATTGTTGGTTATGCACAGAATGGAAAGGAAGAAGATGCTCTCAATTTGTTTAGCAAGATGTTATTAGAAGGTGTCAACCCTGACAATTTTACAATCTCTACTGTGGTTAGTTCCTGTGCAAAATTAGCC